AGAGAAAGTCTGGCTCTATCTTAGTAAAATATGTTGTGACTAGCTCATCACTGTCAGTGATTCAACTGAGTTCATGTCAAATTTTAAAAGCCCTGATACAGCACAGCACTTGCATCTGTGCACCTTTCTCACACTGCAGTCAAAGAGCTAAATTACTTTTGGAGAGAGACTTTCATCATCCTTAAATGATGAATACATTGATGTAACATAGCCCAAATTGATGAATTTGATGGTGAAAAATCTGTATTAGAAGGCTTGAATGTAGTTTTGAGCAAAACACTAAAAAATGGTTGTTATTTCCAAGGATGCAGTGTGAGAAAGGAGCAGAGAGGCTTGGTTGCGATTGTGCCAAGAGAGAGATATCGACTAGAGAGAGGGTTTGGGGTAGACAAAGAGAGGGGGGTATAGTGCATAGCTCAAATTTAGAAAGAGAAGGGGGGGAGGAGGTTTGGAGTAGAGAGAGAAAGACAGAGGGGTATGGTAACAGAGCTCGAGCTCAAATTAGGGGCACCAGAGAGAGATGGCGGGTTTGAGGTCGCTTGGGCATGAGACAGATGGACGTGTGTATCCATCCATGCAGGACATATTTGGGGCAAATAAGTTACTCGAAACACTTTTGGGGACTAGAAAATAAGAAAGTGACAAAGTAAATGCCGTTAGAAAAGTTTTAGATTTCGAGGTTGGAGGCGTCAAACCTAAAAATACTCAATATAATAAAAATTGAATTAACGGGCGGTGTCCATAGGCTTCCGAGGAAGCGAATATAGGATCATATGGTCTCGCGGGAGCGGCTCATAATCCACTTAATAAATCATGCATGCTCCTGCACTCGAATAATTACCGTAACAAACAGGGTTTAAAGACTATGAATCGGATTCGAACTAACCCGAATCGGTCAGGCCAATCAAGATATTGTAAAATATCAAAATCGGTTGGTTCTCTCATGAACGGATTGGTTCTAGCCGGTTCGTACCAGTTCTCTTCTAGAATCCGTCCAGCTCCAAGTTTTTTAAAAAAAATTATTCTTTAATGGGTGTGGCTCGTACAAAACTAAGGCCTAAACAATCAAAGTAAGGTGCAATTTCAAAGTATTGAAAGATGTTATTTCAGTATTAGAAATCTTTGTGATGGTCGAAAAATTTATTTTCATATCTAATTATAAAATTTAAAGCTTAAAAAATAGTGTTGATCAAACATATCTATGAACACTTGATAATCTTGAAAATTAACCGTTCAAAAAATACATTACAAAAATTATTTCCAAGACTTGAAATCTATTTTTTTCATATTCTTTTCGAGCACCAAAAACAACCTCTTCTAATGAATTTATTTAGATGTATGTAATTTGATTGTTTAAAACCGTCATCCTTATATAAAATTTTTCTTTTTTTTTTTTTGTTTTTTAATCAAGGAATTGGTCGCTTGATCCAGTTGTACAGCGTGGTTAATTTGTTTGGCCCTCAAGACCTAAATTCGTAGGTGGTTTCTAATTAAATGCTAAGCCTTGTTATCTCCGATGGCACACCTTTTTAGAATTGACCCAACTCCACAAAATAAAAATTTATTCAAAAAGAAAAACATAAATAATTAATAATCAATGGTCTTCACCCCTCTGCCATGGAAAAAAGGGCATGCGTTATCATAGCTCATGAAGAGAACGCCCGCAACTTTCGGAAGTTACGAAAATGCCCTTTTATATATTAAAATGACAAATATATCAACCTCTTAGCTCCATGAATATAGTTTCTATGAGGCCGTGTCTTATGGAAATAATAATAATAATAAAATAAATAAAAGGTGAACCCTCGTCTCTTAATCTTGCTCGGGAAATGTTTTCAGCATGAAAATGATGATTTTAAAATCAATTTCCACCTTTGTTTATGAAATTTTTAGCTCCAAAAACATACCTATCTTGCATATATATGCGAACGTTTATTTTTAGGGTAAAATAGACAGTTTGGATAATGTGTTATATTAATCTCACATAAAAAATTAAAAAATAATGTGTTATATTATATATTATTTTTAAAGTTTTGAAAATGCTAATTTTTTTCACAACCATAATGATCAAGGCAGGCTGCAGACCTATCAAACCATTTTTTTTCTTTAAAAGTCTAATTAATAAAAAAATAAAATCATCTTTATAAATATTCCTAAAAAGGACAAGGTTTCTTTGACTTCCTTCACTCATCTATTTAAATGAGTCCAATTTCTAAAATTCATCTTAGAGATGGATATTGGATTTTAAAATTTAGGGGTCAACAATCTCCACCATGGTGTATAGGAATATAAAGAAAAAAATAAAATTTGAAAAATAAAATTTGAAAAATAAAATTTGTCAATTAAAAATTGGACCTGATTTCTATGTGGCCAAGCTTGCATATGTAGAAATGCAAGCTTCTCAATAAATCCATTTTTGAAATGTATTTTAAGACTTAATTTTTAAGGACATGTAATATCTAGTATGGAAATCATGTATATGAATAAATAAATAAATAAATTTTAAAAACTAGAAATAATAATTCTAGTAAGAAAACATTTGGATAGTTAGTTTCTGATTTTAGATGGAACACCTACTTGCATCTATTGTTAAGATGGATGCTTTACAAATTTTGAACCACATAAATAGAAATGCAGTCCGACTCGCATGAAACAATTTTCCTTAAAAATTTGTATTTTTGAATTTAATTTAGGGAAAAGTTTATATAAAGTCGAGTCTCTAAACAATCACATTCGAGCCTACCACAAAAAATTTCACTAGACGAGATTGTTTTGATGCCCAAAAATCCTCAAATTAATCATCTCGACATCAAGATGCATGGATATCAGAAAAAAATTGATTTCAAGTTTTGGAAATAATATATAATGTATTTTTTGACTGTCAATTTTCAAGATTTTCAAGTTTTCATATATCTGTCGATCTACACCATTTTTGAAGCTTTAAACTTTATAAATAAAGATAAAAATATATTTTAAGGCTATCACAAAGATTTTCATTGTTGAAACGACATTTCTCGATACTATTTAAAGGTAGGCTCTAATTTGATTGTTTAGAGCCGCACCCTTTAACTTAAGACCCACTACTTTGGTCATTGGAGGGATCATCATTGGTTGGTGTGGCAGGGAGACTTGTATGTGGACTAGGATCCCGAGGACCATAATTAGCAAGTTATATAATAACAATTTATGAGCAATTCAAAAAATCAATAATAAATCGATTTTGCTCCAAAAAGTCTGAAGGGAAAAGTTAGAACAAAATTATGGATCACCAAAAATTAGTTAAGTTAGAGAACCGTAAATGTTTTGGATATGACTTAAAAAATCGAAGTAAAAAAATCAGATAGGTAAATATAACATAATATAAGATTAAGAATTATGGTTATATTATGGACAAATTAAAACCATTGAACTATAATTTTTATGCCCTTGCCTACTATCATTAGAGTCCTATTTGACTAATTTTTTATCTAAATTTTTAAATAAATATAACAACAATGTTTACCACATTCTTACGACACAAAATATATGGTAGATTTATTTGGAGCATACAATGTAATACAACAATACTAAACAGAAGAACTACATTAGCAAACGACAAGAATGAAATCTAAGGCATGAGATTATCATTGGGAGAAAAAAACAAAATGACCTTCACTATACGATTGCAGTTAACTAAAATACAAATAACAACAGTGTAAAATAATGGTCCATCCAAATTATTAAGCTGCATTAGTAATAAAATAAAAAAAAATTAAAAAGTGAAATTAATAAGTCTTTTGTATGTGGAAAAAAAACAACAAAATTTTTAAACAAATCCAAATATTCAAAGCTCAACCTGAATTCCTAACCCTAATCTCTAGTTGTCAGTAAGTCTCTCTCTTGCTCTTTCTAGTGACGCTCGACGTTTAAAGTATAATGACGCTCAATGTTTAAATAGAAAAAAAAGATTTTTCATTAAGCTATTTTTCCTCTAACTTTAACTATTATTTTGAGATAGATAATTGTTTTGATGGATTATTTTTTGGGTAAAAGAAAAATGTATTTGTTAAGGAAATATATTGGTGACAATTTTTAATATACGCTTTTGTTAAATCAAGATTCTTAATTTATTTTCACTTTTTATTTGCTTATCTCCAAACCCAAATTTAAAAATATTAAATCAAGTTGTAACTCAAAAATCCTACAATAGAGAGTGTTCCGGCATAGGCGAACCCTCCAATAGACTATTTCGACCTTGAATAGTCATGATGAAAAAAAAGAATTTCAAGACCAAAAAATAGTGCATCTTGTAACAAGTTATCCAGACCATTTATTTTCAAGATTATCTTGATATGCTCGATTTGTACTATTTTTTAAATTTTAAATTTTGTAATTAAGAATAAAACGAAATTTTGAAGCCATCGTAAGGTTTTCCATGCCAAAACGACATCTCTAAGTAAATTTTATCGGTGCACCATACTTCTACAGTAAAAGGAGGCAACTTTATATAAACCTCACCCAAAAAGTTCACAAAACAATGCTAAATAAAAAAAAAAAATTATATAAAGCCGAACCTATAAAAAAATCAAATTAGAGCTCACTTCAAAATTTTCTCTAGAAGAGGTTGCTTTGATGCTCAAATATCCTCAAACTGATCATCTTGACATAAAAAATGCATGAACACGAGAAAAAAATGGATTTCAAGTTTTAGAAATAGTGTATCTTGTAACGTATTTTTTGACAGTCAATTTTCAAGATTTTCATTGATTAGCTCGAAATACATTATTTTTTAAGCTTTAAATTTTATAATTAAAAATGAAAACATATTTTAAGATTATCATAAAGATTTTCAATATTGAAACCACATTTCTCAACAACATTCGAGGGTGCGCTTTACTTTGATGTACCCAATAAATAAATACATATATATATATATATATATATATATATATAAATAAGAAGATGGGCCATAATGAAGCTCTACTACCTTTAGGGGATGGTGTTTCCTAAAGCTGAGGGGTATCATCGTCAGGTTCATGGACAGTTAGGGCGTGTTTTAGATAATTCTCTAAAAAGTCGGGTGATTTTTGTAATTGCAGAATGAATGATTAAATAAACAGTTAGTACGCGAATCAACGCATAATGGCTGAAACTGATGCTGAGACCTTCATCATTTGGTTTTCTACATGAACTTGTAGGCTTCCTACTCACTTTCTTGCAGAAGAGAGAAGAACTTGTTGCTTAGAGAGCAGAGTTGCAGAGATGGTTTTAGTTAAGTGCAGTAACAATAGGGTGGTGGGCAAAGGAGGAGGAGGATGGTATGGGATAATTATGGTGGTGGGTATAGCAGTGGCACTTGTTGGCGTGATGGGTCTTCACAAGATGAGGGATAAGAGACTCTTCTCTCTCATCATCCAAGAAAAACACAGGGACCTTCTCTCTCTTCAGCTGCAGCTTCAGGTGCAATCCCTTTCTTTCTCTCTGAAACCACACAAGTGTAATTCCAAAACCATTTAAGTGTGGGTTCAGGCACATGACTCAACTGGATGCAGCTGTTCTTGCATCCTTGAGGTTTTGGGTACCTTTCCTACCCAAAAACGAGCAAAATATTTACGTTTGTGTTTTGTAAGGTTGGTATGGAATTTTTTTCTAAAAGCATTATCCTTCTGTTTTTTTAGGCTGGGAAAACCTGGAACCAACCCTCACCCCCCACACCCAATGATCCCACTATCTTCTTTTTTTTTTTTTTTCTTTGACAAATGTTATAAACTTTATTGATGAGAAAAAAAAAAAGGTAAAATTGCAATAAGCTTATTTCATACGAAATTAAAATGGAGGGGAGGTTCCCTCTTCGCTAGTGAATCTGTGAAAGTGTTAACCTCTCTATAAACATGAGAAACAGAGGTGACCACACACACAAAATCAGCACACTAGGTACCTGAAAGATAACCAACCTTAAATTTGATTTATGGAAGTCGCAGGTTTTGATACCCCTTGTTACATAATCCCCTAGGAACCGGCGGTATTCACTTTTTTTTTTTAAGTAACAAGTAGATACCGCAGTATTCACTTTAATGTAAAACCGGGAGGTATTACATGTAGGCCGCGGTTTGTATAGGGCCAAGACTCTAAACAATCAATCAAATTAGAGCCCACCTTCAAATAGTATCGAGAAATGTGGTTTCAATACTATAAATCATTGACTAGCCTTAAAATATATTTTTTTATTTTTAATTATAAAATTTTGAGCAAGTCTATGAAAATTTGAATAATTTAAAAATTGACGGTCCAAAAATCTGTTACGAGATGTATTATTTCTTAAATTTGAAATTCATTTTTTTCTATACATCTTGATGTCGAGATGATCAATTGGAAAATATTTGGGCATCAAAACAATATCTTCTAATGAAATATTTTAGGTAGGCTCTAATTTGATTGTTTAGAGCCTAGGCTCTACATAAACTTTTCCTTATACGCAGTTTTCAAAATTGTGTCTTCCAAAACTCGAACACGCTATAAGAATGTAAGAACCTAACCAGAAATGTAAAATGGTGCACTGCATCAACACATGAATTTCTAAAAGGCAGATCTAGTTTGTATACTATACTATCGTATGGCACAGAACCTAGCACTCCCCTAACCGTTGGGTAGTATTAAGGATGATATCATATAATACTCTCACTCAAAATTTTAAGTTAAAACCAAAGCCCAACATTTTTTTTGGGTGACCCCAACGTTTGATGTAAATAAAATTAAAGAAACATCACTATATAGAATATGTAGGAAGAGAAAACCAATTATAGTTTGTAGTTTAATTATAGAAATGTATATAAAAATACTATTTATTTTTTATACAACAACGTCACAATCATTATTGAACGATAGGTGTAAAATCGGGGGACTAGGGTATGTTATTGACATGAAACAATGTCAAAAAGAAAATTTCTCAAAAAAGAAAATTTTTCAAACCATGCAATGCGGTTAAGGTCTATAAATATATGTAGTCTCCTTGTATAAAAAATGAATAGCCTTGGGAAGGGACTGGGGTCATGGTGGTAGCACCACACATCCTAGTCACCATATTGTAGTTTTCATCCCCACTATTAACATCACCTCAGTATCACCTTCAAAAAAACTAACCCCTAATCTGCTTGAAAAAACGGGTAGAGACATCTCTTCCCATTGAATTACCCAAAAAAAAAAAAAAAAGAGAAAAAAAAGAAAAAGAAAAAGAAAAATTGAATAGTCTTGTAGCTACCATCCAAGCATAAACAATGCTATCAATAAAATTATATTACTGAAGAAGAAGGCCAGAAATGGCACCATTTGGGAATTTGTCAAGGAGACACTTTTCAAAGACATTCCTGGTAAAGGAAAAACGACTCTTTTTTTTTGTCAATGAAATATACACTTTTCAAAAGGTGAACTACTTTCGGTATGTACTTTTCAAAACCAGTATTACCTTGTTGGCTGTTCTGTAAAAATTTAGTATTATTTATAATAATTAATCATTTAATTTTTATATGTGATTTTTAAATGTCTTAACTTTAAATAAAGTAAAAACAACTTTTTTTCAAAATATAAACTTGGATGTAAAAGTGCTTAGACAATTTTATGAGGGATAAGGCCAAACAATAGATAATTCACTATCATGATTAATTGTATTAACAAACACATCCAAAATAGCATAAATGGTGTGGTTTTACAAGGTGTTAAACGTAAACAATAAGGTACACCTCCAAACATCGCCGAAAGATGCAATTTTGGTATAAAATACTCCTAGCTTGAAAATTTATTTCCACCTCTAATTATTAATGATTATTAATTTATAGTGTAGCTCTATATTGAAAATTTGGAAAATTGATCGGGTGCAAGATGCACATTTTTTGGGACTTGAGATCTTTTGGACAAAATAAGTTATGCTCCCACGGGTGTATACTGTCCATTATTTCGGAACACAAATTTTGGGCATGTTACCTCTTCAACCCATAACATTACTAAAAGAATCTCTTAATTGCACTCTCAATGCACTTGAAGAAAATAGTGTTTCGAGATAAAAAAGAGACCCTTCCAATTTTTGAAGGGTGAGATCTAAGTATTAGAATCAAAATTCAAAAAAAAAATTCATTCGAAAATAATCATCTAGTGAGTTTTAGGTAGCACCCTAAAATTCAGGTTGAAAAAATCATCCAAGTATGTCTTCTGACCCATGGATTAGATGTACAATGTGCTCTCTAGAGAGCAAAACGTATGCACTCATTTTTTTTATATCCATGCATCTTAAGGTGGAGATGATCAATTGGAGAGTTTTCTAATATTGAAACAATATTGTTCGGTGGGGTTTGAGACGCGGCTTAAATTTTGGGGATGTTTAAAAGGACGTTCAATTCAGCAATGGAAGTGCATGGAAGATATAAATCTTAGACTTGCTTATAGCACACATACTGTTCGATTTGTGAATGATCGGATCTAGGTGTGAATTCTTTTTGTTTTAGTACTCAAAATCCTTTTTTTTTCCCCTCAAAGAAATACGTATCTTGTGAATCTAAACTAGATTCCCGAATTTCGGATCACGAAAATTGCTGGGAGGTCATTGGCTGCATAATATGCTCCCTTGGGAGCAAATTGTTCACTTGCTACCATATCCATGGAAGCAAATTTTTCACTTGCTCCGTCGGGCAATCGACTTATATTCAGGAGGATTTCCTTTATCTGAAATTTTGGATACTCGTTAGAAATAGGTGAATGTTTTTAATGAAAAAAATTAATTTTTGAGTACCTAAACAACTAAATCTGTACTATCCAAAATTAGGGTCTATGCTTAGTACCTTTTTTTTTTTTAGAGCTTATTTTCCAAGGATGCCGTTTGTATCGAGCCGAGGCTCAAAACAATCAAATTAGAGCCCACCTTTAAATTGTGTTGAGAAATGTGGTTTTAATATTGAAAACTTTTGTAATAGTCTTAAAATATATTTTTATTTTTAATTATAAAATTTAAAGCTCGAAAAATAGTATAGATCGAGTAGATCTATAAAAACTTGAAAATTAGCTGTCAAAAAATGCGTTACAAGATGTACTACTTCTAAAACTTGAAATCCATTTTTTTGTCATGTCCATGCATCTTGATGTCGATGTGAACAATTTGAGGATATTTGGGCATCAAAACAACCTCTTCTAGTAAATTTTTTGAGGTAGGCTTTTGTTTAGAGCCTCGGCTCTATATAAACTTTTTCCTTTTTCTAATGTTATTCGCTTCGTTTCGGCCGAGCCGAAGTCTTTGGATTTTCAGCCTAGACTAAAGCAAACCAACTTCGGTGCATCTGCTCCCGCCTCTTTTGGTTGCTTTGGTTTGATTTGTCCTCTTCGTGCGAAACTTGGACCTGCTCCGAATGAAAGACATACTTGTCTTTTCTTTTTTACTATTATTTCATTTTTAAACTTTTTATTTCTAATTTTTTATTGTTTTAATATATTTTTATATATAAATGCATACTTTATTTATATTAATTTTTTAATTTCAAAATTCTTTTGTCGAATCAATCGTAGCACTTTTTTTTTTTTTTGTAGAAAATATCTTCATAGACTCCATTTTCAACTTTCATCTCTCTATTGACCTAAAGTTGGAAAACCTATCTTACTATGTAAAAATTCATTTTATTATATCTCCTAATCTCCTAAGCATATTTTTTTCATTTTTTATTAATTTTTTTTGTCCAAATAAATTTGAAAAAAACATTGTTTTCTAAACCCCTCTCTCTTTTGAAATGATTCCCTTTCTCTCTCCCCCTATCAACCTCTCAAATCCCTCTCTCTCATCTCCCCCAACTCTTTATCTCTCTCTTTCCATTTTCCCATCCCCTCCATCTCACTCTCTCTCTCTCTCCGAGCCAAGTTCTTGAGGTCAACCAAGATCTGAGAAGCCATCACCAAAAGTTTCGCCCTTTATCTTCCTATCCTTCATCTACTGCACCTTCAACCTCTTCACTATAATTTCTAGGTCATCAACCAGTTTCCATGTCTCGTCATACATGATTTCATGGCTTGGAGATGTAGCCCAAGCGCATGCTGCCTATTAGGGTTAGGATTAGGGTTTGTCCTCTCGTCTGCAATTGAAGACAAAGAGGTCATTGAAACCGCAATTAGCCTCTACTGCAGGGGAGGGAGAGAGAGAGAGAAATTTTACCCTTTTCTCTTTTTCCCCACTAAAACCTCATATGGCCTCCCCAAAATTTGAATGCATTTGGTACTGCAATGGCAGATAAGATGGCGACGATGAAGTAGAGCTCCATCATGCTTGACAGCCCTAGGTAGCCCATTTTCTCTACAATCTCCTGGCTTCCACCATTGTTAAGTTGGAAAGAAATAGGTTGCAGAAAGAGAGAGGAAACACATGAGGAGAGAGATTGAAACGTGTGAGGAGAGAGTTAAAAAAAGATGTCTTTTTTAATCTGTTTGGGTTAAAAGTTAGAATGAAAATAGATCAAATTATTTAAGGGGTTAGAAGATAGGTTTTGAAATTTTGGGTTTATGAAGAAATGAAAGTTGAAAATGAGGTCTATGGAAATATTTTTCTTTTTCTTTTTTTTTCCTTTTTTTCTCTATTGTAGTTTATTTTTTTTGCTTAGTGGAGGCATCCCAAAACTTGTTGCTATAAAAATACTCCAGAAGACTACATGTACATTTTGGAGTATATAATCTCTTTGGAAATGTAGCAGTCACCCTTTCATATTAGGTAGTGAGACATATAATGCTTAGGCGAGGGCATGCCTAGGCCTTTTGCAGGAACTGGAGGTAGCATTGAATGCAGATTTTGTCAATTGTAGCTATTTCCATCAATTTTTTATCTCTTACTATCAATTTGGCAATTTCAGAAAGAAAGGGAGTCTATCAAAGAAGCAAATCAAAAATATGAGACAATTAAAGAAGACTTAGACCACATCAAATACCATAAGATAGGGCTCACCAGAAAGCTCATACAAATGGAAGCAGTTGCAGCAAATCTAGAACAGAAGCACAAGATATTAAGATCAGCTCTATTTGAGAAACTTAATCTGATTAAAACCCTAAAAGACAAGGAATTAACCCTGACTAAAGTTCAATCAGAATTAACTGCTCTGAAAGAGCAACTCAAGCAAAAGAATGTTAAAGGCCTTGAAATTAAACAGAGAACCGAAGCGCCACAAAAGGTGTGGTCGGTGAGCTTGGATGACCCCTCTAATCCTTGCATCAATTCGACATCTTCCGAAAATTCGCTTTGTGGAGATAATGTACAGGAAAACAAGGAATCAGGTGATTATTGTAAGCCATAGTAGATCTTTATTTTTCTGGCACGTTTTTCTTAAATTATATTTCTCATTTAGTTTAATCTTATTTTTTGACCTTATTTTCTGATAACTTGTCTATTACTTGTTGACATCTCAACATTCTTTCCAATCTATGCATGCTTAATCGATAAACCAGCCACACAGAGTAATCTCTTTCTTGATAAATGTTAGTAGCCAACTAATTTCCAATGATATTTCTGTTAAAAAGATGGGCAGCTCAAGAAGGATGAGGAAGCACAGGCCGGTAAAGACATGAAAGCCATGACTCAAAAACACAATATTAAACCTATCCACGGAAGCCTCGAACAATCTCAAAATTTGAAAAACAAAGAAAGTACAGGTTTCACCAGAACCCAACCAAAAGGAGTAGAGGTCCCCATAGAAGTAAATTGGATGGAAAACAAATATGAATTGCCAAAGAAGAGAGTTGACATGCTCGAAAGTAACAGACCCCACAAATTAGAGTCCTTTGATGTAATTACATTGTCTGAAAACTTGACTAAAAACGCGGAGAATGGTGCTACCATGGGAGGAGTAGAGTCCAGAGATTGATGCTTTTATCGAAGTCTTGGATGATACAAGTGATGAGGCTTCATTTGGAGAATCTAGGCGCCTGGAGACTGATCGCAATGACAGAGAATTGGAGGATAATCAAGATGAGGGTGATGAGGAATCAGAGGAAATATAGCTTACAACAGAGACATGCTCCAAGAATGCTTTTGTTTTCTGTTTCCCTTCTTTTTATCTATTGTAAATAAACTAAAGAAATAAAGCGCTTTTTTCAAAAAGATACAACACAGAGTGAATACTCTCAAAGATGAAAGAATACCAGGAGAGAGAAGTTCAGTTCTATTGGTGAAGCACTTGTAAATCAAAACCCCAAAAGACAAGTATTTAGAAATAGGAACATCAAAAGAGCAACTCAATAAAGAGAAAGTTAAAAACGCCGCCATTAGAGCTCTAAAGATCCAGAAAACACATAACCTGTGATCTTGGATGACCCCTAGGATTCCTACATCAATTTAACTTCTTCAGAAAATTCTCTTTGAGGAGATAATATGCAGTCATATGGATATTATAGACGTTAAAGCCTATTTTCTCTCATCTTCAGGGCTTTATTTTCTTAAGTTTATGTATCATTTTCTATGAATCATCTTCGAACATTGCCGGCTAGGAGAGTTCAATACTCGTTCAACTTTGTTGCAGTAAACCAACACTGTTACTGAGGTATTATATATTCCATAGAAACAATCCAGCAACTCTACGTCCAGGTCTTACCCCTGGATCACCTTCTAGTGGAACGATAAATAAATGTCCTCCTCCTACCTGAGCTTTTTGATCATCCAAGCCTCTATTTCATTTCATATACATCTATATTAGGTAGGCTCGGGGATCATTGATTAATCGAATGAGTCTTTCTTTTTTGTTGGTTTTGTAGTCTAGAAAGCCAAATCCCTAAAATACTATGCAAAGAGCCCAAATCCCAGCTTTGTGTGTGTGTTAGTGAGAGACCACAAGAAGGGTCCTGCAATCAGTTAGCATAAACAATGTCACCAAACACAAAAAGCAGGGGTCTCTCATTGTATGTTTGAAGGTTGACACTTTTTTGCTATTATTCAGGAGGAAGTTTTCTATTTTGTTGAGATTACACCTTTGTGTCAGATTGTGTGGGATTACATCTTATCTTTCTACTAAAATCGGTTGTATCCTTTTTGTTATATATGGGTGTTACCTGTAATCAAATTAAGAAAAAAAAAAAGGTCTTTCACCCTTTCGTGGATGTAGGCATGTGCTGAACCACGTACATATCGTGCCATGATCTCTTTGTGCTTTTGATCCCTCTTATTTTTCTACATGGTATCAGAGCGCGATCTTGAGTGGGCCTTCTCTGTGTTTCTGATCTGTGCACGATCTTGTGTGGGCCTTCTCTGTTTTTCTAATTAGAGCGTGATCTGTTTTTTCTGTCTCAAAGACCTCTCTCTTACTTCTCTCTCTCAGTCTCCCTCTGACCTCTCTCTACTAAATGATGTTGAAGCCATCATAATCAAGTCTCCTTCTCCAATTCCAACAAATCGCAAGCGCTCAGAATTTCTTATCTCATTTCCATTAAAAACCAACTGTTGTTGCTGAAGAGAACTACTGTTCTTCTTAGAGAGCTTGTGAAGTGGGGTCGAGAAATGGGTCTGGCCATGGCTGGAAGCGAAATGCCAACCTTTAACGGTAGTTTCTCTCTCTAGTTTTTAAACAAGGCAGCAACATTCATAAAAACCAAGCCATTAAAATATTTTGGGCACGGGATTTTGCTCGTTGTGTTGCATTGGCATTATTATTTTGGGCACATACTTGTGGTGGTGCATTGGACTCTTATTTTGCAGCCACGATTTTTTTTCAAAGGTTCCAGTCCGGCTATTTCGAACATTTGAGCCTCTGCTACCCCTTTCATCCATGCTGCCAGGTTCTACCTTTTTATTTTGGTGTTCCTTTATTGAGGCTGCTGTTTTTTTTGGTCCTCCATTTGTGTTGCCAAGATTTAGCAATTGTTGACTTATTTGTTTTTTGAATATGGGAGATAATTAAAAAACTTTCATGAAAAGGAGTATAGTGCTAGTGACAAACTCACTAGTGCACTTCTAAATGGAAATAACTATCTAACTTGGGCAAGGGCTGCATCTATCTCTTTGGGAGGGAGATCCAACTTAGGCCACGTGGATGGAACAAAACATGTTCCATCTTCCAACGATGCGGATTGGATTTCTGAAGATAAGAAAGTTATGTCTTGGATACTCAATTGCATAGAGCCTAATATAACAAAGATTTTCACTGGTGCTAAAAATGCTCAGGATCACTGGACATCTATAAAAGAAATATATAGAAAATAAGATAATTTGTCTCGAATTTTTGAATTAAAACAAGAAATATCCCATATTAAGCAAGATGAAGGATTCATTACAGAACACCTTGCTTCCTTTCAAGGGATGAACTTGTAACATATTCCCCTCCTACAACTGATTTGAAGGAAATTCACAAAAGAATTGAGAAAGATAAAAATTTTATCTTTCTTACTAGCTTGAACTCTGAATATGAAAATGGTAGAAGTCAAATCCTGATGTCTAAAGAACTCTCATCCTTTGTGAATGTTTGTACTACTATTTGTCAAGAGGAGACAAGAAGAAAAGTTATGATTTCTGAAATTAAAGGTGCATCTGAAAATTCTAAAAAATCTTCCTTAACAGCCACCAAACGAGATACTTTTAAACAACCTTTCAATACCTCAGGAAGAGGGTCTAGTTATCATGGAAGAGGCAGAGGACGAGGAATTGGAGGACGATCCTCTCTAAGATGTTCTCATTGTGGAAACCACGGTCATACCAAGGATAGTTGTTGGGGTTTGTAAAAATCCTACAACTCAAATTGCATCTATTGATTCTCATATTAGCCTTGAAAAACTTACTCAACTTCTCCAGCAGCTAGGTAAGAGCGGCTTCTCTTCCATACAGAAATCCTCCATCGATAATATTCTCTTCCAAGGAGCAGGAATTATCTTCACAAACTCATGTGCTTTACTGCCATCATCCACATGGGTCATTGATTCAGATACTAGTGACCACAGGACTGGAAGCTTGGACTGTCTGTCCAGCTTCAAGAAAGTCACAAATAGACGATTTGTTGCAATAGCCAATGGGGCTATTATTCCTGTTATTGGAATTGGGAAAACATCTCTTATTTTTAATGAGTATCATCCTGATGTTTACTCCTTGCCTTCCTTTCCATCAAATTGGCTTTTTGTTAGCAAAATCACTCATGATCTAAACTGTAATATCATTTTTTCTCCTCATTCTGTGATGTTTCAAGACAGGGCCACGGGGAAGATGATTGGTGAGGGTCATGATTCACATGGCCTATACTTGATTAATTACCAGAATAAAGCCTTGGCGGCTAAGGGGAGTTTGAATAATGGGAATTTATGGCACTCAAGGATTGGCCATCTATCTGATAATGTTGTGTGAATCTTGTTCCCAAGAATTTCATTAGATTCGAGTAATTGTGATGTGTGCAAATTTTTCAAACAAGCTAAGGTACCTTTTCATAATTCTACTAGTTTATCTGATGAGTCATTTCACTTGGTTCACTCTGATGTGTGGGGACCTGCCCCAGAACTCTCCTATAGTGGTTTTAAGTATTATGTGGCTTTTATTGAAGACAAATCTAGGGCTACTTGGTTATATCGTTGAAATCAAAGAGCGAAGTATTTTCTGCATTCAAAGATTTTTACAATCTAGTGACAAATCAATTTAATGCCAAGATTAAGGTCTTTCGAACTGATAAGGGGACCGAATTAGTTAATAAAGATTTTTCAGATTTTCTTATCCCTCTGGGCATTATTCATCAAACTTCGTGTGTTGGGACCCCCCACTAAAATGGGATTGCTGAAAAAAAAATAGACATTTGCTCGAAGTGACTAGATCTCTGATGTTTCAGATGAACATTCCAAAATTATTTTGGTCTGATGCTGTTCTCACAGCCCTGTTATTTGATTAATCAAACCCCTAGTAGGATTCTGAAGAATAAACCTCCATTAGAAGTTTTAAAAAGGAGAATAATTGATATTTCACACCCAAAAGTCTTTGGTTGTGTTTGTTATCTTCATGAACCAAATAGAGACAAACTTAAAAAGCATGCTACTAAATGTGTATTCTTTGGATATTCTTCATATAAGAAAATGGTACAAGTGCTATGATCCAAAAAAAAAGAAAGTTGTACGTATCAAGGGATGTTTCCTTTATTGAAACTGATTCTTATTTTCAAAAAGACTCTGCTGAAAGTAGCACTCAGGGGGAGTGTACTACTTCTCCATTACCGTTAGTGGCTCTACCTTGAAACAAAATATTATTGGAGACTCTGTTCAAATAGGAAATCTTGAGGAACGATATGAAAATCAAGCAAAATTTCGTTCTATTGTTTCTCATGTCTATAAAGACCCCGTGGCCCAGTCATCTGAGCTCACAACGATTCTCCACGTAGATCCACTTGTGTTTCTCGCCCTCCTTCCCAATTGAAAGATTTTTTCACTTATCATGCTACCACTCATCCTATTCAAGAACAAATAAATTATGGCCATATGTTGCCAAATTATGCTGCTTTTATAAGTGCTATTTCTAAAAGTCTTGAACCAAGTTCCTTTTTGGATGCCCGATCCCAACCTTTGTGGAGGAAAGCCATGGAAGAGGAGCTTAGAGCTCTTGACAAAACTCATACTTCGAAAATTGTTAAGTTACCCGTAGGAAAATGGCCTGTTGAATGTAAATGGGCATTCAAAACCAAATTTAAAAGTGATGGGTCAGTTGAACGACATAAAGCCAGACTTGTGGCCAAGGGTTTTACCCAAACCTATGGTATAGACTACAAAGAGACATTTGCACCAGTTGCAAAAATGAATATTGTTCGTACCTTATTATCTGTGGCCATTAACCTTGGGTGGGAGTTATCTCAAATAGATGTTAAGAACACATTTCTTCATGGAGACCTCGAGGAAGAAGTCTACATGAATTTGCCTCCTGGTTACCCAAGGGAACATGAAAAAAGAATTGGCTGTCGATTTAAAAAAGCTTTGTACGGGTTGAAACAGTCACCTCGGGCTTGGTATGCCAAATTAAACCTAGCTCTTATTCATGTGGGGTTTAAAAAAAGTAATGTTGATTCATTTATGTTCGTGAGAAAAATGAATACCGGAACCATTATTGTTCTTATCAAGAAGGGATAAAA